CGGGATGGGAGTGTCAGAGACAGTGCGATTGGCACAGGACAGAGCAGAGTTTAGGGCTGTTGTACATAGGGTCGCTATGAGTCGCAAGCGACTTGACGGCACATAACAACAATAATAACAAACTTAAGCAGAGCAGTAAACAAGTGCTGATCAAGTTGTGGAGAGAATGGAATTCACTGTTGGTGATACACCCATCATAGAAAGCAGTGTGGCACTTTCTCAGAGTTGGAAATAGAAATATCATTTGGCCCAGTAATTCCTCTACTGGGAATATACATACCCTAAAGAAACCAGAGCCACCATGTTTATTGCTGCATAAGTCATAATAGCAAAGAGATGGAAGCAACCCAAGAACTCAACAAATGGATAGAAAACTATGGTACAGTCACACAATGGAATACTATGTAGCTTTGAAAAACAATGAACTCCTAAAGCATTACAAAACATAGGGGAGCCTGGAGGACATTATGCTAAGTGAAATATCTCAGTCACAAAGAGCTGATCTAGGACTGACATGGGGGGGGTTGATCTGCATTTTTTTTACTAGTTAGCTAGAGCTATTTTTTTAATTTATTATTAATTTCAATGAAAATTTACAGAGACTTTGGATTTCCATTAATTTATTTTTGCACTTTTCTTCCCTCCCAACCCTCCTCCCTAGTACACCACCCTCTTGGAAAAGTAAAAGAAAAATTCTTTCATTGTTTTACAATTCCTCCCACCAAATTCACTCCACTATGCAGGCTTCGCTCTGGACTCCTGTCATGACAAAAATACCTAATCACATATCCCTTTTAAACAGTTTTCCCCCTCATCCCTAGCTCTAAGAGAGATGCAAATCAAAACAACTATGAGATATCATCTCACCCCAGTCAGAGTAGCAAAATTTAACAGAACAGCAAGCAACACATGCTGGCGAGTTTGTGGAGAAACTGGAACCCTTATTCACTGTTGGTAGAAGTGTAAAATGGTGCAACCATTGTGGATGGCGATATGGCACTTTCTCAAAATGTTGCAAATAGAGATACTATTTGACCCAGCAATTCCACTACTTGGAATATACCCCAAAGAGACCATAACTGACATCCAAGCAGTTATATGCACACTCATGTTTATCGTGGCTTTGTTCATAATAGCAAAGAGTTGGAAACAACCTAAGTGTCCATCAACAAAAGAATGGATAGAGAAGCACAATGGAATACTATGCTGCATTGAAAAACAAGGAACTCATGCAATATTATTCAAAATGGGTGACCCTGGAGGACATTATGCTGAGTGAAGTA